GGGGGGGGGGGGGCGGCTTTCTTCACCATTGCCATTGTAAAACAACGCCATGACAAGAGAATATCATTTCACTTACATCCAGTCATCCAGTGTCACAATCCATTACATTGTGTTACATCCGGTCAGCAGTCGTGCTTCTCGAACTTCCGGCCTACCCCTTCAGTTTATTCCCCATTCTAGGCTTATCGACTGTCTGACTCGATTTTAGCCAAAGACGTTACATTGGATTGCTCAAAGGCAAAATTTGCTTTGTAAATTGATCTCGAAACATTAAATTTGCTTCCTGGTTGGATTGAATTTAGGTGCTTGACAGCAGAAATCGCAAGTATTACGACCATGTTTTGACCTTGTCAACTATTCTTTGTCATGTGTATGCGGGCTACTTGTATCATCATCTCTGGTCTGAAATACGGCAAACTGGACATTCGATGGGAATAACCGTTAGATTAGAGTCTGCGTTAGATTTGGTCAAGAAAATGGAGCGAGCGAAGGAGAGACACTGGTGAGAACCACGCGACGAAAGAATCCTGAAGAATTTCCCAAAACCTTCAAGGTAGGTTTTGTATCAAGTTATATTTCATCAAATTCGTTGGCCAAAACCTTATCAACTAAATGTAGATAATAGACAAGATGATCAAAGATACTTTTGAAGCTGAGTTTGTCTCTCTAAAGCCTGTTTGAGCCAAACACTAGGGCCCACAAAATTACAAATTTTTCAATTTTTTGCAATTTGTCCCAAGTGTCTTCAGCACCCATGGCCAGAATATAATTTTCCCCAAATTGATTTTATAATATTTACAAACTTCAATATCTGTGTAATCTCTGCTGATAATTTGGCTGATGGTGGAAAGAGTACTTTCGGAGAAATTACGAATATGGTTGTGCTTGTTTTTCCTGCTTGTCTAAATGCCAGCTGACAGGAAACATAGTAAGACGAGCATTTTCTTCTTGTTTATAAAACCCAAAATATTTTAACGGCAAATTATATAAACTGGGAGAATGGCTCTACCATCTGTATGAATTTTATTTGAATTGGTTAGCGTGCATCCGAGAACCAGACTTGTTTACTTTTACTTTTTGAGAGTGGAACTTTTGCTCAAAACATGTTCCTGAGGCCGACGTCATCTAGTGCGGTTATCATGGAAACGATACATCTGCCAATCCAAATATGGTTGTCTTTGTTTATCCCCTAAGGTAACCTACCTCCACTCAAAAATTGAAGGGGGTTAAAAGTTTTCATTTCCAACTTGGCTTCACTTTCTCGGAGAACTGCTCTTAAGAGTGTAGGAAATATGGTGCAAGGTGTAATCAGTACGTTGTTGCAGTGTGAATATGTAGGCTGAAATTATTACAGGATGGAATATTTGAATAAAGTGACTATTGATGGTTAACGACTTTTCGTTTGCACAAATGGAATTTTCGGCGTTCGAGTGAATGCCAATTAGCCGGAAATGAAATATTTCTGCGGCACAGGAGCAGTGGTTACCGGGGCAGTTGAAGTGCAGCATGAGTAGAATGGGGTGCTATAAAAGGAATGCTTATCACGTAGGAAAGCATTCTAGGCCGACATCTCCTCTTGCTCACGTTATTTACTTATTTATTTATTTTATTTTTTCTTTTTAGTATACATATGAGTTACTAGCTTGTTTGCGTTTCCTATAACTATTTAGAGTTTTTCGTGCTTTGTTGGAATACATGTTTAGTAAATTAGGGCAAAGGCCTTCCAGTCGTGTAGCCTTCGTGGGATGGGCTTTTCAGAGCATGAGCCATGGATCGTACTCAGATTTCCTGCCGAGCTCTTTTTTTTTTTTTTTTTTTTCCCTATTGGGTTTTTTTTCCCGCAGGTTTTTTCTAGCCTCTGTTCTGAAAGTATTCTTTGTAAACTGTCGTTCAGCTCTGTTCTAGTTTTTCCACCACATGTTTGAATTTGACAGAGGTTGTTTTAAAACGTGTTGTTATATGTGTGCGGTGCTCGGCCGAAACAGCCAAAATAAACCTAAAGGTTTTTCTAATTCCGTTGTACAGCGTAGTGGAGCCGAAATCACCCATTATTGTTATTAATGTGTTGTAGCCTGTCTTAAATATGCAGGGTATTAAGCCTGCAAAATTAGGTAAAGGACATGTAGTAAAGAATTATGATCGAAAACGCCTTGCTGCAATTTGCCTAAAATGTCTGTTACTCGATCGAAGGGAATAATTTATTCAGTATCGATTTTGCTCCCTTAATTTGCATAATTGTGATATAATTACTTACCAGGACGCATTCTTGGTTTCGTTCGTTTTCCGATGCAAGGCGTCAAGGTATGAAACCGTGAACATCTCTTTCCCTGCTCTTCAGTGTTTCTAAAATGCTTACGAAGCGCGTTCCATCCAATGTGCACTTTCACTTTATTATGAGTAAACAACACCAAGGGGGTTCCCCTGCTGGGAAAACGTTTTGCCAAGGAAGCATATCTCCCAAAACAACCCTATCAGCGTTTTTTCGTCGTCAAGAACGCTTCCTACAGCATTTTTCATATTTCGATCTCATACTTGAATAACATTACATAGCTAGCTCTGCACTCGGTTTGCATGTAAACAAAAGTAGGTCGAGAACAAAATTTAGACAGTTTAATACATGTATAAGCATAGAAAACCCCACTTTCCGTTCTTGTCTCCTTTTTCCTTTCATCATCTTATCTCGTATTCCCTGGTTGAACAAAAATAAAATACGTCATACAATGGAAGAATAAGAGCCAAATGATGGGGTTTATCCCTTTTCAAATTGATAGTGCAGCGTTGCACATTTGTGACAGGGAAGCGCATATTGTAACGCTAATTAGGCATAATTTAAGTTTCGACTCGAAGTAACGTGCGTAGCGAAAAAGCAAATCGATGAGATAAGTAAATGGTGAGGAAAGATGAGAACTCTACGGTGACTAAGTTTGTTCAAATCGTTTATTAGCGTGAAAAAGTAGGAAAAAACTAAATTTCAGGGTTGGAAACGACTTTAAACGATCGAAAGTGAAAGTGTTTGGGAATCCTGGTGTTCGGTTACTGATGGTCTCATAAGCGTAGGAAAGCTTTTGCAAGGTACAAGGTTCAGCTTCTTTCACACGTCTACAGTACAAGGTACAACTCATCCTCGAGCATATAAGGAGCCACGTCGCTCAACTGAAAGCATCTTACTTTTGAGGACCCGGGTAAGAGCATAGACACTGATCACGTCTTTAAAAGGCTCGCGGAACATAGTAAATAAATAACGTCGCACACTAGTGGAAAGAGGTAGAGCTCCGCTAAGAAGCTAAAATGATTGAAGACAGAGAGCCCTTTATCTCTGAGAAAGGATAATTCCGGTGAGTAACCGAGTGTAGATATTGTTTCCTTAAGGCGATGTTTGGTGTCTAAGAAAGAGCCCATCGTCATCGATAGGGGCTTGCAGAGACTTCACGCATTCTTGTAATCGCAAGTGGTCAGCCAAGTAACCTACGTAGACCACGAAATTAGACCAAGATAACTTAGAGGCGATAGCGGGTTGAAAGCGAATGAAAATAAACGGGAATACTGCGATACTGCTTCAGTTCGAGGGGGTGCAGTTTTATGCAGAAATTCCCTTTGAAATAATCTAATATGTTAACTCAAAATTCCTTGCAGTTGTCTACAATCACACATTGCTGTACATCAGAAGGAGTGGACACAAATTTTTATTACATGTGTGGGACCTGTTCAGTGCGTTCAGAGCTTCAGAAGAAAGAAACTTATTTAGTCACGATCAAATTGATGGTCGTATGTATTGCTTGGCCAGACTAACAGAGAACAATTCGAATCGGGGTTTAAATATCGACGTCAAAGGTAACTTGAGCGTTTCTGTAAAATATTGAAATAAGTTTTGTGACTAGCAGGTACTTAATTTACATCACGACAAAGCTACATGTATGACAGTTTGGTCACGCTCCTTGTCAATTAAGCGAACATTTGTTCTAAGTAGGCGTCGGAGGTAATTTTACATTTCAAAATTACACTACCTCCTGATTCGTTGAGATAGATGTGTCTGCTTATCCTAGTGCTAAGCAGATTTTTTAAATCTGGTGTGCGAATTCCGGTTCAGGGATGTTCATGCTTCGTTGTCGTGACGAATTTGACCTAAAGCAAAACGTTCTCTTGATCTGCCCTCTCCGACACACGAAAAAAGTACCTATTTCTTCCTCCATCAAATGGCCCGCATATTGGCCACAAGAATTCTACTTAAAACTGTTAACTATAAAAGAAAGGGTACTGTAACAGTTGCTTCGTATACTTCAGCTAGTAAAAATATTTCAGTGTATTGCTTAATTTGTATAATCCCCAGATACAGCCAGTCATACATCATGGAGATGATCTGTACTGTAAAATGAGTTTTGGTATTTCGTTTGTAAATGATAACATTTTTATGATAAGTGTGACCTGCGGATTTATAAGATGTCGTGCACCATGTACTCATAATCATCTATAAATAGCTGATTCGATCATATTAACACGTAAATACTCCTCACACTCTTTGCTTTTGTCCATTGGTTAGAAGCTAGCAACGAAGTAACATCAACTACAGCATCTATCCGGTTGAACACAACTGGCCGCAAGGATCCATCATGTCAAATTCATTTGACACTCCTTTGCGAACTCAACAGTCATATACTGAAGACGAACTATACGGATTACATGTGTTTAGCTACAGAAGACTAACCACAAATGGCGGTACAGGGCCACGTAAACAGCTCATTGTGTTTATCACCAGGGCCTCGGAGGATTCTGGGCAGTTAGATAAACTGCAGGTGAGGACTTGGGATTTTTACAATGATTATTGGATAATCTTGTCTGTTGTTTATGAATACGGTGGACCATCAGTGAAATGACGGTAGGGGTAAAGTAGGGAGTAGGGGGTCAGGATATTGGGGATGCAAGGGAGACGCAACTCATTTTTTTCGCTTTTTGCTTGTTTTTTTTTGCTTGTTTTTTTGTTTTGTTTTTGTTTTGTTGTTTTTTCCTTATATCCTAGGCAAAAAACTTTAAATACCCGGGGTGGGTTACCTCTCGGCACAACAGCATTAGCAACTGAAATTCATCAACTTTGCAATAATGGCAAACTTTTTTCTTTTTGAGCAGAAGCAGCTTGATCAAGGCATGATCAATGTTCGGTCTGTTTATTCAAACAGTTTCCGTTGGAGGAAAAGTGAAGGCACCAAGCTTCTTGCACAATTAATATTGGGAGATTTCCAAGCTGAAAAGCAGGTAAAGCCCTTTGTCTAGAGTCGTTGGTCTTCGTTTATGTTGTGGATGACCTTTCAGATCCCCAATAATTAATTAATAATTAATAATTAATAATTAATGATCATAAATTAATTTTCCTATCCAGCGCGAAACGAGGAGAAGCCTAAAACATTGTGATAATAAGTGCATTACTGATCCTGACCAACCCTTTGGTGTGTTCTTTCCAGGTCGATCGACACAAAATTGATGAAATGAAGCTTGCCGAGAATTTAATTTTCACCATGCCTGAGAGTGATGCGTCCTTCATAACAATGGAGGCGACACTTATGAATGAGAGCCGAGACATCATTTTGCAAACTGGAGAGTTGAACCTACAGCTGTCAATTGTAAGTTTAATTTCAAATTAGTCCATGATCTTCACCTTTGCACTTATCAAAAAAATTACCCCAGTAAATTTCCGCCGGGTTTCACTTGACTGTGATCTCTCAGATCATTAATGGTTGCCTAACATATATTGAAGAAATCTTCAAGGAAATCCAAGTTACGATGACTGTACAATATTCAGAGGCGGATCCAGGGGAGAAACTGAGGGGATTGCAACCCCCCTCCCCCCCCCCCTTTGAGCAGCATTTGTTTCGTGTTATTTTGTTTGGTTCTTCCTAAAATAATAAACGAAATTGTTCTTTACGAAGTTGTTTCACTTCCACCGGGCCCCCCTAAGGGCTCACGCCAGAGGTACGGAGCCGTCACTCGACTTCCACACCACTGGCGTTAAAGGTTATTTCAATACTGTATAGCCCCCAACCCCCCCCCCCGCTTCCCCACCCCGTTCAGAAATTCCTGGATCCACTCCTGATGTTCGCGCCAATGATGTTTGCTGAATGCCTTGCATGATGCATAATACCTTTCTTATCCATTTTGTTTTAGTTTCAAGGTGAAACACGCCCCGGCGTGGAAAATGAGCATGAGGGAACTCAACCCATCGAAATGGAAGCATAATGCTGTATTCATAAAGATGATGTTTTTAGTTATTTTCTTTATCTTCTATTATATTTGGAAGGAACTCACAACGTTCGACTAGGGATAAAATTAGTACCAGTGATTAAATGATTTCGAGTGCAAGTTGGAGTAAATGAGCAAGAGTAATTGTTTTCCACAAAAAAAAATGACCAATGGGTGACACATTTGCGCAAGCGCGTGAGGCGTGTGTAATTTGTAGTCTTAATTAGTGAAAAAAAAAAAAAAAAAGAATACGAGTAGTTGTTCATTCCAAGTTGCGCATTCCAAGTTGCGCAATACGAATTGAGTGAACGGGAAAAAAAAAAAGAAAAAAAAAATGACATG